TTGCCGTGCGGAAATATTCTTTTAAGAGCTCTAGTACAGTTCTTCCTATCAAAATTTGCCTATCCTTGAGTCTATCCTGTAATCCCGTATGGATCTTGACCAACATCGACCTGACCTTGGCCCCAAATAAATTTGTCTAGATGCACTGCTAAGGGGAGGCGTGGTCCTCATGCTCGTTTCGTCTCATGGAATTGTGCGTGTCACCCGGCGCAGATGGCCTCGTTTCTCATGACTCGGATTCTCTGGTTGTACTTGTAAGATTTGATTTACGAACCGCATATAAATAGGCATACGTCTACCTCGGAAACTGTCCCATGAAACTTAATGACGCTTCTCACAATGACAGCCGATTTACAAACTTACCACTGCTGCGGCATGGTGGTATTGAAACTCAAGGCATATCAAAGATACTGAGTTATCTCAGAAGTCAGGTGAGTATCTCTACGGTGCCATAAATTTTTCGTAAATGACCGTAAACACCTTTTGGTCCTGGGCACTACGAGTGAATACACAGGTTTAAGGGCCGCATCGAAGCTTTGCGGCCCGATTTGTTCTTGTCGTTCATCCGATCCCGCTCTTACGAAGAGCACAAGGCATAAAAGAATATAGTACCGCTGTTTAAGCTCTCAATGCTGTGCAGTGAGCATGTCAGTGCAACGACTGTCATGAAAGCCCTGGATGCAGCCCGAACAACCGTGGATGGAAGGTAATTCCCTGTATCAACTGCTCGAAATGAAAATCAACTCGTAATAAGTGTTCTCACTGGCCAGTATCCAATCCTTTATGAAGCAACGATTTCACAGTGGAAAGGGTTAAGGTTCTTCAGACGCATTTGGCAATCAAGGTACACCGAATCGTCTGAATGCCTTTTTAGCTTCATGGTGGAGCGAAAAGTACTCGTTTGGATGGGGCTAGATACTAAATGCTTCACCACATTACCAACTAAATGCTTCTTTATATCTAGCTATGTAATGTCTTCTAATCCATTCTCACCATGTATGATGAAGGCATCCACTGAATGTCCTCCGTCTGATATATTCGTGCACTTTTTGTCATTCAGGGAAGAGTGCCAGTCCAGTGGCCACTGCTTTGCGGCGATCACATCCGTTTAAAGTGTCCTGGATTATGAACATCAATATTTCAGGTCGTCCTCATAAAGCAGACATGATCGCGTAGATCAGAAAGAGGAGTGACCTCGAGAGGGAGCCTTGAGGTACTCCAATAGAGACGGGAAGGAAGCGCAGATTGATGTGGCTTTTACTCGGAATGTTCTGCTTGGAAGGAAAGCCTTAATCGAGTGTAGAATTCCTCCACGAATCCCATAGGGCTCGAGTTTGTGGAGCAATGGGGCTTGCGGGACTCGGTCGAATATTTTTAGGAAATGGAAAAAATATGGCGTCCAATACGAGTCCTTCATCTTTGGCTTGCAATAAGCTGTCCATAAATACGAAAACGGGGTATCTGTTTGGTGGTTTTGGGTTGTTTTAAGGTTGCCCACCTTAAAGTCCATTCATCACCTTGTACGCATGCTAGTGAAGCTAATAGGCCTATGGCTGTCGGGTGATGACCGGTCACCAGATCTGAAGGAGGGCGTGACAGTCGCTTCCTTCCAAGAAGAAGGAAGCTTGTTTTCGTCAGGCAGCTGAAGAACCAGCACGTGGAGCAGTGTTTTCTGTAGTGTCCTTAGATGGACCTCATCTGCCCCCAACACGCCGGAAGGGTTCGCCTTGCACAAAGCATCTTCCGAGAAACTCAAATTGTTTTAGCTCGTTTGCAGTTGCTTCTTGCCAAGACTGCGTCTGATGAGGTGCTGAGGTAGAATACGAGCTTATGTAATGTTCTTTGTAGGCTTCAGGTATCAGGTCATTCCCAGTTCCTATTGCTCAAGAAGACCGTTGGTTTGTTTCTTTGGTGTCTTAGATAGTACTTGGGCAGTACTTGGGTGAGGTCTAGTAAAAAGATGAAAAGAAAATCGTTCAGCTGTAACACTTTTTTGGTGCCTGACTGCCAGGCCACTCGAAGGAAGCAAGCCCAAGCCTGGATAGGGATCGCCACGTCAAATGCTTTTAGGAATAAGGAGCCCCTGCAATATTTCAAGTGCTTTTATTTGAAAGTTGCGACGTCCAAGACATGTGTTTTGCATGACAGGGGATATTCTGCGTCGTAGAGCCCTTTTTATCATCTATGCTCTGAGGTGGTCAGCCTACGACGATGCGTAGAACCGCGAAAACGACGCAGAAGCTGTTTAATGGTCTTGACAAATGCTCAAGTGAACAGAATTATTCTACTTTTTTTTACCCCTAACCTCCAAGGTACTGTAGCGCCTTTTTGTATTTTGACACATCAGTTTACAAACTTTCTGTGGACATAAATGCAAACCTGATTGGCGCTGGTCAGTTGGCGTGACGGAATAGAACAGAATTTCTCCAATAGACCTGACGTGTTACAGTGCACGGGTTTGATGACTCTATGATCCTCGTAATTGCAACAGTCATCACCAAACACAACCATTATCTAACTCTGGTTATTCTACTGTTGTTCTTACCGAAAGTGCATTCTTACCGGCAGTGCATTTCAAATATCTTTCTATTAGGACGAGCAGTCCGAGCTGTTTTTCGAAGCACTTCTGGGAAACAGCACACCCCTATGGTAAATGCTTTTGAAACAAATGAACGTGTTCTTTTAGGTGAACTTTTTCCGACACACTTTTTGACAGTGCAAATACGTTCAAGATTCACCAATTTGACTGAATGAATTGCTCCACAATGACTGCAGATATCCAAGTAGTGCACCTCCGAATCACGCGGTTCTTACAGCTGACAATGTTGACGATGATGCCTTGAAAAGTCTACTGTCGCTCCTGGATTCAGCCAACGCTGCCAATTCGCGGCCATTCATTCCGTATCTCCCCAGATTATGGGCAAAAGAAACTCAGCTCTAGCCACCATACAACACTCACAGGTTTTTTACACCTGAAGATGGTGGCGTTGCCTTTTCAGATCTCAATACTCAGCAGGTTTCATCTGCGCAGAAGGACCGAGAACTGTCTGCAGTCTCTTAATTCCTTCCTGAAGACTATTGATTTTCGCACAGGGTAATTTTGCCAGCCGACTTCCGACTGCAAGCTGTGACCTTCAGCGCTCACAATCGATATTGATGGGGCCGCATTCTTGTTGGACTACAACGGTCTCTAATTAGATGAGAAACATGATGTGGTATCGATTAGAGATCCTCAATCTAATGTCCGTTTTAAGGCAAAGATAAACAGCGGTCATGTACTACTGGCATTTTGGGGCTTTGTTCCTCCGTTAGCAACACAATTTTTGCAATCATTGCCCTGTTTTGCAAAGTTTTGTCTAAGAACTTTCCCCACGTATAGGATGTGGTATCACCTTGACTATATTGCTAGAGACTCCACTGTTTATCCGTACTCTGCAATGTGAGTGTACATCGCACACAGTCAATGTAGAGGGATTTGGTTACGTATTTCGGAAGAATTGTAGTGACAGTGATCACAGGATGAGTTGGAACTGTAGTACTGCTAATCTATGGGAATCCTCATGCATCATAGAGAGAAACATCATAGAGAAACAGAGCATTTGTCCTTGGGAGGCAATTTATCCTGAGGCATTAAGTAGTAAATAGTGACTGACCAGGCGCGCTCTTCTGAATTCTTTGGAGCAGGGCATTGTCTTTGTGAGAATTCCTTTCGGGCAGGGTTACCACAAAGGGAGCACAGTGCTTTGCGCCATAAAGGTCGCATTAGGTTACTGGATGTGAATTTCTAGTCGTCACTAAGAGTCCGAATAGCAGTTCATGGGTTGGGTATTAATCCATTCAGGAGCCGAAATTATCTTATGGACAGTTATTGACCGACAGTCTTTGACCGTCTCGGATCTGGGTTTCATACAATGAAGCTAACCCGACCAAGGTTGAAGAGTTAGAACCCACCGTTCCGCTCTGAATTCGGAACTACTTGCAGAAAAGGTGAGCGCTGTTTATACCTCCGTATTCACCAATTTATTTATCAACGAGTTTATCTGTTACAGTTATGTACGTCGTAGGCACAAGTGTTCATGTTGCTTTTCTTTTGTCTACTTTGTGTCTCAGAACTATGGCTTGGAATATGGTATCTCCGACTCAGAGAGTGTGGAACTCGCATCGTTGGTTGCTCTTATTGAGAGGCAATTGACTCCAGCTATCGATTGGTTCCTTTGGGGGGAAGATGAGGTGTTTGTAAAGTTCACGCGCCCCTGCTACACCGCTTCTATCGGCCGTTTGGAGTCCTTCTACTTACCTTTCAGGTGGCGGGCTTACAAGATGGATCTTACGAGGCATAAACAACTGACCCATTGCTTCCGGCAACTTTCAGACACGGTGCTCGGACAAGAGGTGGGTGTTGTGTGTGATGGACTGCATTGGAATATCCTTTCATACAGAAGTAATAAGTTGCATTTTTCTCTCTTGTATGCCCTTTCCTATAAGCAATCTAATCATTCGATAGACTGAATCACTCACGAGCTAGGCAGTTTTTTTCAAAACTGATCCGGTCTTGTGTCTGATAGTGTTGTAACTTTCGGTCAGCACTCAAAGTTTCCTACAATTGATAAGTGATTTGTTTCCATCAGCTGGTAGTTGTCTGGGCTTGGTGCCTTTTATTTTCCCACATTCCACAAATGTCCGTTTTTTTCCTGTTTTCTGGACGCTCGTGTTGTCGATGTGCTCAGTCAAAGTCGAAGCTATTTCAATGCAATATTGACCAGAAATCCGGATTACAAGGTTGTCATCTGTTTTCCGTTTAATGGCACCTCACGAATCCTCTGCTGGTTCACAAGCCATATTCATTAGTATTAGTTCCACAGCAATAAAGCAAATGATACGTTGCCCCTTTTGCATCCGCCTAACATCTGTTACATCGATTCCAAACAGACACTCACGCAACTGGCGTCGGAGATTCTAGACTTAGACAGTCAATCAGTCGTTCAGTCATGCAGTTATCAACCATGTGCAAGCTACTTTAGTTTCACCCACTGGAAATGAGAAGAATAAGGGGATGACAGTTATACACTAGTGGCGACGATCCGATGAGTTCGTTGACGTTGCTCTAGTTGTCTGATAAAGCATAGAGAGACAGAGCTATGATGCACGACCGCCGCTGGCTGCTTGATGGCCATATCTGTCAGATGCACCGTATCCCGGGCCAGAATATTTGGCAGCGTAACTGAGCTGACATGTTAGGGGCTTTCATGCGTAAATATAGAGTATACTGCAAGAACGTACTATCTTTCGTTATGCAACTCCAACGAACGTGATGAATGAATTATGTGTTCACGGTTCATTTTCCAAACACCTCCAATCACCAGCCTCAAAAGACGAGCGAAAAAACATGTGATCAAATCTGCAGACAGTGCGTCACGGCATGCAGATTAGAGCTAGGCCCTCACTGTCTGTCACAGAATGTCATCTAGTACGTCAAGCTGTCCCTCTTTGGAAATCTCATACTTGCAGTCTCTTTCGACGGCCCTATCCTGATGAGTCGGCTGAATGGAGCCTTGCGTCTTCGCATGTGGTCGTAAGAAATAATGACGCATATGAACCACTCGGCAGATTTAAATGCGGAGCCTTGTCATCTTTGTGTTTAGCTTCAGTTGTCCCCATCCCATATTCAGGTTAGAACTAAAGTAGTAGACCTGCTTTGTAAAGCTCCTTATAATCGCTATTTTTGAAGTCGGGAGTTATGGGGCGAGATGGCCCAAGTGGTTAGAGCGCGATTTACTGACCGGAAGGTCCGTGGTTCGAACTCAACCTCTACCTCTCGACTTTCCCTGTCTAGGCTTGGGCAACCTGGCAGTATCCCAACCCTCGTGCAACCTTAGGGTTGCATGCCAGTTAAGCACCGAAAGGGTACCATAGCTGAACGGTTTATGGTGCGAATCAGGAGGCCTTTAGCTTGGGGTTGGTGTAGTTTTTCCTCCAGTCCGATAGCAAATAATTGATGTACCTGTAAGTGATATCTGGAAGCCTTTCTGAGGATGTGTGGTTCACTGATGTCTGCATCGATAATATTTAAACCATTGTATCTACCCATGAGTTAAGCTGCACTACACTTACGTGAGCCACTATTTTCGATGATCAGACTTCATCGAACGCAATTTGAAAAATGAGAACATAACTACTGCTTCACCGTTTTAGGTCTGTTTGACACCGAGTCTGACTAGTTTTGTCCGTGGGGGGGGGGGGGGAA